CGTTGCAAAGTTCAATTTGCACGTCACGGGCAGCCGGATAAAGTAATCACTGATAACGGACCGCAATTTGATTGTGAATCTTTCAGATGTTTTGCAAGACAGTGGGGGTTCGCTCATGTAACATCCTCACCTCAGCACCCACAGTCTAATGGAAAGTCTGAGTCCGCAGTGAAGATTGTAAAATCCATATGTAAGAGAGCAAAACTCGATGGGTCAGACCCATGGCTTGCAATTCTACACTGGCGAAACACAACGACAGAGGGATTAGACAGCAGTCCCGCGCAACGACTCATGTCCCGTAGACTTAGGACGGGACTTCCGATGGCAAACAGTCTGCTTATTCGAAACGTGGTGGAGGGAGTTTCAGAGAAACTGAGATGGAAACGGCGAATATCTAAATTCCAGTACGACTTAAGAGCCAAAGACCTCCCAGAGCTTAATGTTGGCGAATACATCAGAATGAAACCCCTACCTGGAGACCGCATGGGCCGGTGGCGGAGAGGCCAATGTTTAGGAAAGGTGAATCCGCGATCTTATGTAGTTGATGTTGAGGGCACATGGTACAGGCGCAACCGCGTGGATTTGCGAAGAGCTGAGCGTTTTGACCAGTTTAATCATCAAGAGGCAGAATCAAAGGAGAACAGCCAGGGCACTACCGGCGACAGTGAAATAATAATCACAAGAGGGGAGAACACATCAGATATTATAGACTGTGAACCAGAGCAAGCTCAGGACCAAAGACTGATAGTGACCAACAAACTGTCACCACGGGGAGCGCCGATCATCACTCGCAGTGGCCGTCAGTCACAGCTATTAGGCTAGCATCAAAGGAAAGTTTAAAAAAAAAAAAAAAAAAAAAAAAAAAAAAAACATTTAACGTTATTCGTTAGGTGGTGTTTGATAACCTATTGTTTCTGTCAAATTTGAGTGTTTGGGGCTCTCTGTGAAGTTAAGCGCCTCTCTAAAGAAAGGGAGATGTTACACAGTGTAATAGCATACATTGACCTGTATCCGGTGGGGACGCTGTCCTGCGGGATGCTAGGCTGTTGTTGCGGGAGACTACCATGCAATAAAGGCAGTTCTAGTTCAGCTCATGTCTGTTTTATTGTATAGAACACAAACAACGGTCCACCTGGACAAAACCAAAGTCATGGTGTTCCAGAAGAAGGCCAGATCTCAGGGACACAAATATCAATTCACATACAGAGGAGAAGCTCTAGAGCATTGTAGCAGTTACTCTTACCTTGGCATCCAGATCTCTGCCTCTGGGGGCTTCAGTCTCGCTGTCAAGACCCTGAGCGAGAGGGCTCGCAGAGCATTCTATGCCATAAAGTCACGCTTTGGCCAATTACAGTTACCAACTAAAACATGGATTAAATTATATCACGCTATTATCAAACCTATCTTATTATATGGGAGTGAAATTTGGGCACCAGTATTAAATTTTGAAAATTGGAATAAAAGTTTAATCGAACAAACACAATTAGAATTTGCTAAAAACATATTACATATCCACACAAACACGTCTAACATTGCCTGCAGGGCTGAACTGGGTTTATACCCGCTAAACTTGGAGATTCAGAAACGAGCTGTTCAGTTCTGGCTGCACCTGCATCAGTCGGACCCCCAGTCTGTCCAATATAAATCCCTTCTGGCTAATGAAAAACCTACAGCGTCTCATCCTCTAAACACACTGGTATCTGAGCTACTGAGCTACAAACCGAACCCGTCCCCAAACAAAACCTTCACAAACAAATTGACAAAACATTAAAATATAACAATGATGAAAAACTAAAAACTGAATTCAACCTCCAGACTAAACTTAAATGTTATTCGGCCCTAAATAGAACCACACAGTTGGCAAATTATTTATCATTAAAACAATTAAAAGAAAAACACATTCTTTCTAAATATCGCCTCTGTGATCATGACCTAGAAATAGAAAAAGGCAGACATAAAAAATCCTGGACTCCTAAGGAAAAGAGAATATGTAAACAGTGTGACACAAACCAAATAGAGGATGAGACACACTTCCTTCTGTTTTGCCCCAAATACACCACGACAAGAGAAATATTTTTCCCCCAAATTTGAAACATTGATCAGTTCATTTTTTAATTTAAATGACTCAGAAAAACTTTACCATATACTCGGAGAGGACGAATTGACATTTAGACTAGCTGCAAAATATGTATATACCCTACACACCATAAGAAATGGTTAATGTTAACTCATGTATCTTATTTAAATAATTTAAACTTTTTATTATTAATATTATTATTATTATTATTATTATTATTATTATTATATTTATCAAATGTATTGGGTTTTGTGTGTGTGTGTGTGTGTGTGTCATTATATCTTATCTGTATTACTATTAATTTTTCAATGGTTTTAATATGTTTAATATTTGAAGTGCTTTGGCAATACTGTACTTAATGTCATGCCAATAAAGCAACTTGAACTTGAACTTGAGAGAGAGAGAGAAAGAGAGAGAGAGAGAGAGGAGAAAATATTACCTGATGGATTGTAGGTAATATTTCTGCAAGATGACCATGTCGCATTTTAGCTAAATTAATTCACACCTCCTCCTGAAGTGACGAGTGATGCATTAAAACACTGCGCGACAGCTTCATTTTCGAAATGTAAAGTTTGTCTAAAGCAGGGATACAATCAGTCAGCGTTGTCGTACATCCATAGTAAAAACGACATTTTGTGTCTGCCGGTTTTGTTTACTTGCAGGAGTTCATTGCCATTTTCCTGCACTTGAATTCTAACCAATCAATAAGCAGTTTAGGAACTACGTTCAACAATATCTGGCCAATGAGAGATTTGTATTTTGTCAGATTACTGCAGTTTGGTTCGTTTTAACTAGTTCGGACCAAAGCCAGCAGTGTGGAGTGAAAACGACCCAAAGACGGCAGAAAATCTAACAATGTATCATTTATAGCCCATGGTCCGGACTAAATGAAGCAAACTACAGATGTGAAAACACCCTTAAGCAGCTACAGGCTGATTTCAAATCTAAATCAAAAGACAGTTGCTGCTCATCCAGAATGCTGCTGCCAGCATTCTGACCAGAACCAGAAAATCAGAGAATATCACACATGTACGCAGGTAAAGACACTGGCTCCTAGTAACGTTCACAATAGATTTTAAAGTATTATTACTTGCCTAAAAATCTGTAAAAGGCCTAGGACTTCAATACATTACAGATATACGCACTGAATACACTAACAGGTCACTCAGATCATTAGGATAAAGTAAATTAGAAATTCTAAAGGTTTAGTCAAAGCAGGTTGAATCTGTTTTTAGCTACTATGCCCCCACTGCTGGAATCAACTTCCAGAAATGATCAGATGTGCTCCAACATTAGGCACATTCAAATAAAGACTAAAAACAAATCTGTTTAGCTGTCCTGTTTACTAAATGAGCACTGTGCAACATTTTTATTCTTTGTTTCTTCTATTCTTGTTTATGTAATGCACCTTGGATTACCATTGTGTATAAATTGTGTTATAAATAAATTCCCTTGCCTATCGAATCAATGTCCTATCTGCCTTTTTAAAAATGTTTTTAGTGATCTCTGACAGATGTTGGAACAACAATTATTGGGAAAAGTGCTTTACAAATAAAATTGAACTGAATTAAATGTTGTCAGTCAGTGATATCATTAGCCTCATTTCCACTGTTGGGCTAGTGTGATAAGGCAGATAAGCACACCATTGCATCATCACGAGAGCATTAAGATATGCGCTGTGCAGGACAGAAAAAAGGTAGCCTAGTTTCCGCTTTCAGTCACCCAAAAAAATGCTCTGTTTGCACGAATTGATTAATATCATCGTATCCAAACACTTTATAAATAATATTTCAAACCTTCTCCGCTGTTTTTTGATTTTAGAAAATAGGCTATCTAAAATCTTTTTTCAGGTCTTTGTAAAATGGAAGTTATATATGGCTTTAAAACGGTTTGATTTGTGTATTGTATATACCTAAATTGTTATAGCTAGCTTTTGTTTGTTTTATATTGTTTTATTTAATGTGATTTTATTATATCCGATATTTGTAATTCTTTAAATTATTCTTTAAATTAAGAAAGCCCCTATTTGGCCCAATTAGGCCCCGGAAGTGACAGTGTAAACACAACTGGCATTGGCTCACTCAGTTTAGGCGCGATAGTGGTAACGCAGCTACTGTCAAGTTATCAGTAGTGCTAACAAAGTTATACTGAACTTATGTTTAGATTGGCCTACACTTTTAATTTTTTTTTAATGCCAGATGCTCTGGTTTCCACTAATGCCAGTAAAATGGGCATGCAAGCATCATTACTGGACAATTGAGCATTAGCTGGTGTCCTGGTGTGATAGATAAAGTTTTCTTTTAAATGAGTTGGATGGCCAGATGTGTGCAATAACAATTGTGGGTGTTACCTTAAATGTATGTAATCTTATTTTTTATTCAAAAGTGTTCAATATTAATAGTGTCAGTAGTTCTCAATCCCAGTTCTTGTCCACCATTCTGCATATATTGCATGTATCTGTTATTTAACACACCCTATTCTGATAACCAGCGCATATTCTCTGCTCCACTGTTCCCTAAAGGAGCATGAGAAATGTTTACTTGACTTTGAAATGTTCATTCATGGGTTTGCACAACACAGCCAACAGCGTTATCTCACACATATGACGCTATCGAAGTGTGAAGTTTGCCATATCACACACTAAAAAGGCAATTGAATGAAACAAATGCTTTCTCTTTGAAATGGAACCATGGCAGAACATCCTGTGGAACCCACTTTGTATGGACACAATAGAGCAAACATCTGAAGTGATGAGTGAAACATAAAACATGTGAAGAGCAGAGGAATGCAAAGACTGGAATTGCCAAACTTACCTATTTATACAAAATACTCTCAAGGTTAATCAAAAAGCTCTACCAGTTGTGCAATATAATTATATCCAGTTCAGTTTTTGTCTTTAATTTGACATTTGTGTGTATTGTACCTGTGCGTGTAGGTTGGTGAGTGTTCAGAAACATCTGGAGGGAACACACAGTGATGAATGGGGCTTTCCGAGTATGACTGAATGTTGCTTATGTCTGCATCTCTCTCCCATCTCTCTCTTGGAGGAGTACTGGTTGATAAGGACGACTCAGAGACAGGGGTCTTAAACAGCAGACTGAGAGAGGATATAAAATTCCAACTACCATAAAAAAGGGACTGTTGGGGGAGGAGAAAGAAAAAAAAACATTGTTAAAAAACAATCATTCTGCTTAGAATTCCCTAAATGTACTATAAAATTTATTTATAGTCTTTTTAGGTATTTAATCAAATATTTTGCCATGCAAAGACTTAAGATTTTAAGACTCAAAATGAAGACTACACATTAACATCATAATGACTTTTTTCTGGGACAGCGGTCGGGTGGGCAGTAGTTGTATTAATATAGAACTAGGAAAATCCGCACAAACAAATGGGAAAGTTCACATTTGCTGTTTAGTACAAGGCAAGTACTGATGCCCAGTCCTGTTCCTAAAGACCTACCTGAATGCAGAATTCAGATCGATCTGTATATACACAGTATTAACGCAAACATAAAGTATATTGCTGATTCATTTTATTATTTATTTATACATTATATATATATATATATATATATATATATATATATATATATATTTATATATATATATATATATATATATATATATATATATATATATATATATATATATATGTGAGTATTGGGCGGGGTTTGCGTGACACGCTGCAAGCTACTAGCCCAACAGTGGAAACGCAACATGATTTGGGCCTCACTGCTCATGCTCCCGGGCAATTGACATGGCTTGGCCCGATAAAAGCCCTGGCTCACACTGGACCGACAGTGAAAATGTGACTAATGGTGACAGCAACAAAGATCTTGGGCTGTGGACTGTGTATTGTTCTCTGATGAGTCCACCTTCATCACATCCAGGAGAGTTAGGGTGTAGGAAAGCCCCAAACGTTTTATGCACATGAATTTGGCTATGCATATCTGTATCTCATCATTAAGACTAATCAACATGCATATGACTTACCTTTAACTATGTACTATGGGCCTCATTCATGAAAAAAAAAATTTAATATCAGAGCATATTGTGAAAAAATTTACATAAAGCAGACCTTGAAAACTGTCCTCCAAATTTATAAAGGCTCTGTATCCATCATATTTGTTAGTTAAACGTGTATGTTAATGAATTCCAGCCTTTTATAAATAGGGTGTGCATGTATAATTCCTGCCTATAAATTATATGACAGTGATGAGTGCTATGTTTTAACTAAAGACTTATTCCCTTTATTTAGTGCAATCCTTTACTTTAGTCCTTTATTTAGTCAGTGCAATAGCCTAGCGGTTGGCGCGCTGGCATATGGTGCAGTAGCACTTCAGGGTGTCCTGAGTTCGAATCCCGGCTCAAGGACATTTCCCGTCCCAACTCCTCCTCCATGCCAAAGAGGGAAGAAATCACTTTCGCGAACGCTCACGCTCAATCTGCCCAGTTGGTGGAATGAAATCTAACTGCATCAGAACAGCAGAGTCACTCGCTACTTTCAAGAAACGACTAAAAACTCAACTATTTAGTCTCCACTTCACTTCCTAATCTGCAATTGCCTCTCTGAATATCACACTAACTGTACCAAAAAAAAAAAAAAAAAATACTAATACTACTAATACTTCCCTTCTCAGACTTTACAGACCTGAAACTTGCCTATAGCACTTATTCATTGTTGCTCTTAGTTGTGTAAATTGCTTCCTTGTCCTCATTTGTAAGTCGCTTTGGATAAAAGCGTCTGCTAAATGACTAAATGTAAATTTACCAGGGATCGCCACAGCGGAATGAACCACCAACTTATCCAGCATATGTTGTTTACACAGCGGATGCCCTTTCAGCTGCAACCCAACACTGGGCAACACCCATATACTCTTGCATTCACACAAATACTCTACGGCCAATTTAGTTTATTCAATTCACCTGTAGCACATGTCTTTGGACTGTGGGGGAAACCAGAGCACCCAGAACATGCAAACTCCACTCACAAATGCCAACTGACTGAGCCGGGGCTTGAACTAGCAACCTTCTTGCTGCGAGGTGATTGTGTTACCCACTGACGCCCCACTCAGTGTAATCAGTTTTCCAAAAAGAACACAGATGTTTTACACTACATTCACACATAGTCAGTAGCACGTGAAAAACAGCATGTTAAATTTTAAACTTTAGCCATTTTTACAGAGTAAAAACTGAATTTACATTAAAAAAAATACATTACATAAAAAAACTGAATTTACATTACTTACTAATTACAGAAATAACAATTTGTAATAACGCATCTCACACACTGTAATATATAATAAATAATAGATTAATCCTAATGGCTTTTTTACTTTAACATTTTCTGAGTATATTTATTGTTGGCAAAAAAAATGTTGGACTACCTGACTCCACTGAAATAAGGTCAGGAAGCTCTCAATGATGCAAAGATAAAGATGCCGTTTCCACTTGTGTTTGCGTACAAAGGGCAAAGAGAGCAGCTGCTGTGCAGTGGCTCTGTTGCAGGGTTCTGGGGTTAGCATAAGTCGTAGTATATACAGCATTTCTTCAGAAAGCACTGAAACATAAACACAAATGCTAGCATGTTAGGTCCATTGAACTAGGCAGGGCTCTATCTTAACGATATAAGTACAAAGTCTAAAGCACATGGCACAAAAGCATTAAGGGCATATCCAAATCCACTTTTGCTATTTTAAGGATGGAAAGATATAGTTTGTGTCCCAGCACATGGTCTTAAAGGGTTGGGCTTATTCTCTTAATGAGTGATAGGTGTGTTTTGAGTTTAACGTCCATTAAACCACCCTCATCTCCCTTTTCCCTTTAAGATTCAGTTGCATCGAACTATGGTGCAAAAACTGAATGCTTCACTAGTGAGAAAACAGATAATCTGCAGCAAGGATTTAGAACGAGCCTCCTCCATTCAGCCTCTTTATTTTCTCTTTATTTTACGCTTAACTTTTACTTCTTTACTTACATGGAGTAAGGAAACTGTGGACTTACTCCACTGAAAACATCTTATTAGCCTGCATATTTAATTTAGCATTTGTTCCTTAAGCACAAAGATTTGTTTAAAAACTATTCAGAAATTCAGTTCTAGTTTCCAGAAAAAACAAAAAACTAATAATTAAACAATAACAACAAAGTCTGGTCAAAAAACTTGAATTAAAGTTATATTTCAACACACATTCTACTGCCCCATATGGCATAAATCTCCAAAACCGACAGGTGGACAAATCTAAACTTGTTTTTTATTTAAACAAATATAAATATGCATTATAAATACTACTAATAATTACATTATACAAATGAAAATCGTCATGACAATTCCAAACCCCCTGATGTAAAGACATGGGAGGAGGTAGTGTTTTTTATAATTATGTAGAATATAATACTTTTTGTAACATTTTAATCCTTTATTTTTTTCATATTAAAATATATTTGTGTATTACTGTACATCTTTTGTGCATTAAGCAATGTGTAAAAATTTTGAACCCACTAAGATGATCTTTAAATTACAAAAACTCTGCCCTGGACTTTTGACCAGCTTTTGTCGGTCAATGGCGCAGTGTATTTCAGTGTCCTTATAATAGAAATGTGCCAACAATATGCCTCAAGACACCTAGGTTTTGGACCAGCACACCCATGAATTCGCAAAGTGCCACAAAACGTAATTACACCTGTGCCCTCAGGAAAATAGCAACAAATCACGCTATACATACCTTGCTGTTTTACGCTAGGTATATGATAGAGCCCTCAAAATTAATTGAATCCTAATTAATCCAACAGTTAATCCTATTAGAATCTTCACTCAAAAAAAATGGTGCAGTAGGATTACAAAAGTAAATGCCAGAAAACCAAAACAAGCCAGACACAAAGCATAGGCAGCTATGTAATATACAACTCTGAAGGGTACAAATCTCTAGTAATTCAGCATACCGCCTTTTTCAAACTACACTAGTAAAGGCACAATTCTAGATACCATTCAACATGTCTCTGCCCACAAACATAGAGATATATGATCATTACCCAAACTGAGAGAGCAGGGAATAAGTGGCTGTTTAATATAGTGGGAAAAGCGTTGACATATGGCCACCATAAAACTGCTACTACAATTGTCATTCTTAACCAAACTATGCTAATCCAGGTTCCAGAAGCAATCCTTAATATTGATCATTTGGCTTCATTTTTTTTACATAATGAGACATGATATAGAAATTGAAATGATTGCCACCTTTTACTCCAGATTAATCTATTAGTGCCAAAAAGTAAGAGACACAATAAGATGTTTTGAGTTGAGGCACAATACATTTAAACGAGTTTTTTTTTTTACACCAGGGGCTCTGTAATTTTGTGGAATGGTCTTAAGAACTTCATAGCTGTTGCTCACCTATTTATTCAAAGTAAATCCTGCTAGGGCACATGCTTCCCTAAGGTATTTAATGAGCTCAAATGCATCTTTCACAGAGGCCACAGATTAGGGACAACCCTCAATGTAGAAACTATGTTTGATGATGTCAATGACTTGTGTGTTGTATCCTAATTATCAATTCCTGATTGCTTTAAATCAAAATTGGCAAAGCTGGGTGATAATATAACACCAAGATGGACAATTATACTATAAACTTTTCTTGCCATCTCTTCAGCATATTCTTCACTTAGTACATCCTCCATGAATTCTTAAATGGCCGGCCTGCTCTAGGAAGAGTCCTGGTGGTTCCAAACATCTTCCACTTAGGGATGATGGAGGCCACTGTGGTCATTGGAACTTTCAGAGCAGTAGATTTTTTTTCTGTTACCTTCCCCAGCGTTGTGCCTTGAGAAAATCCTGTCTCCTGGTTTTAGCTGGTCTATTGCACAGTTTATTTTAGTTCCTCAAAATAGCAACACACCAACAATACGCCTTAACACACCTCTTTTCTAGACGGGAACACCCGTGGGTGCATAAAGTGGCACAAATGGATTTGCTATTTAAACAACGTGGCACAAAACAGGAAAATTAGGGTTGCACTGGTCTGAAAATAGCAACACAATGTGGCAAAATCACCAGGGTGAATGAGATGCAACTTCATTAATATGCATGAGATATCTTTGCTGCTTTTTAGCTGTTACAGTGCTCAGAGACACAACTTCCAAGTTGCATTGCCAACTGTAAAATTCATTGCTTCACTAGTAGTAGTAGTAGTAGTAGAAGTAGTAGAAGTAGTAGCACTGAAGAAGTAGAAGTAATGGCACTGTAATAAAGTCTCGATACTCTACATCCTTTGACTTGAGCATGACCCCGGAAGGTACTAAATTAAGCAGGACAATATGGGAAATTATAATTTTAGAGAGGCTAAAATAAAAGTGTTTATTTTAACCTGGTAAAGCAAGCATGATTTGGCTGTAAAATTGCTCATATCTGCCAGCCTCTTCAGGTTTTTGAGCACTGCATGAATATACAATTTAAATATAATGAACTGATAAAATAATTAGCAACTTTAAGCTTTTATTTTTTTAAGTATACATGTTTTCATTAGGTATGTCAAGAGCCTGTGAAAACCCTGTTTAAAGTATAAATAATTAAATATATTACAGTATTTGATGATGGTTTACAATACCATTAGTGAATTCTTCTGGTAAGTGCCCGTTTCGGAGCAGCTGCCAGTCATCTCCTTCTTTAGGAACCTCAATGTTACAGGCCAACTCCAGGATAGAAATACCCAAACTAAAATAAGAGAAGTGAGGAAAGACACACTTTGTACGAATTAGAAAATAACTGATTTTTCTCTTATTTTTGACAACGAAAAAAAAAATCACATTTGCTAACCTAAAGATGTCTGCAGCAGTCCCATAGTCTCCTCTCAATAGCTCGGGGGCCATATATCTTGGGTCACCTTCCTGTAAATCATCTCTCTCTTTTTTCATTTCTCTCTTTTCCTCGTTTACTTGTTTTTGAGCATTTGCAGGAAGCTTGATCAACAAGCCAAAGTCTCCCAGTTTGAGCCGTCCAGACTTTGTAATGAAAAAGTTTGCGGGTTTAATGTCCAGATGAGCAAACCCACAGTCATGTAAGTGAATTAGTGCTGACAGCATGTCGCACAGGTATGCCCAAGCTCTCATCTCACCTGCCACAACACAAACCACACACTTTGCTTTAACTTCCAGCTGCTATGAAAAAAATAATAAGAATAAATAAATACATTTGTAAAAATTATGTTTGGCTGGAAAAAAAACTGAATGTTGTTTTATAGAGATGCACCGAAATGAAAATTCTGGTTAAAGCATAATGAAGCACTTGGCTGAAGATTGAATACTGTTCGTGTACCTATATATGATTGATTCTCTCGTTTTTTATGTTTTGTATTACCTTTTTGTTTTCATCACATTTTGTTTATATATGCAAAATGAAAACACGATAAAACAAAAATAAATAAACAGCTTTAAAATTTGTTCTCTGTCTGGGTGGCAATTACATGACCCCTTTCCGCTGTGGTCAACATTAAAAATGTGCTGTCATCAGCTGTTTGTTAGTTTTGTGTACCAGAATAACATCTCAATTTATGGACTTAGCATCCCATTTGATTTGCTGCTTCAATTGTTGTGTAAATGCATTTACTAAAAATAATACAATTTCAGATGCAGAGGCTTTGCTTCTTGCAGAACAAACATGCATGACAGTCACTTATTAAACTGATGTAATCCTATTTTATTTTGAATAAATGGCTAAATTTAGCTTTAAAAAGAAAACATTGTTACAGCCAAGGAGGAAAATCTAAAACTCATCAAAAGCAAACTGACATTTGATTGTTGTCAATAGATATATTGTAAAAAATCTCCTAGCTTTATAATTCCAAAAGTATTTAGAGGTTTTTGTATTTTCTTAGCTGAGAAAGCACTTTCTATTTTATAGGTTATAGTGCTATTAAACATTACTATTTAAAAATATTATAGGTTGCACATACTAAATATTATTTTTTTCAAGTTTTTGTCAGTACTGCTTGTTATGATGTGGTTCTAGTAAAAGATATTTGAAGAGTAAAATAGGTAAAGTCAAACTATGAGGTCATCAATTATTCATGCCAATTTAATTTAACAATGTTTTGCAAAATGTCTCTCAAAATGGTTTCATAACTCAAACTACTGCACTTTTAACTTGCCAGTATAACAAAATTTCAATTATAATATGAAAGTAAACAATATTTTACAAGATGCTCTAGTATTCTATTACTAGTATTCAGCTTAAATTACAATTTAAAGGCTTAACTAGGTTAATAAGGTTAAAGGCAAGTCATTGACCAATATAACAGTTATTTGATAGTGCAATAATTTTTCACAATTTTACAATTTGTAGAGTATTTTTTTTTTTTAAATGCTGACTTGGGGAGCAGGATAAGCTAAAATTTTAAAACATTTAACAATCGTACTGACCCCAAACTTGTGGACTGTAGTATATACATTTGAAGTCAGAATTATTAGCTCCCCTTTAAATGTTTTTTTCTTTTTTTTAAACATATATGATGTTTAACAGACCAATGAATTTTTTACAGAATATCTGATACTATTTTTTCTTCCGGAAAAGGTCCTATTTGTTTTATTTAGGCTGGAATAAAAGAAGTTTTATTTTTTTTAAAAACATTTTAATGTCAAAATTATTAGCCCCTTTAAGCTAATTTTTGCCCCGATTGTCTACAGAACCATCGTTATACAATAACTTGCCTAATTACCCTAACCTGCCCAGTTGATATCTAGTAAAATATTATTTACTGTCATCATGGCAAAGATAAAATATATCAGTAAATAGAAATGGAGTTATTAAAACTATCATGTTTAGAAATGTGAAGAAAAAAAATCTTCTCTCCATTAAACAGACATTGGGGAAAATAAACAGAGGGGCTAATATTTATAATAAGTGTATATGAACAGTTCTTATGTAGTGTTTTGCATACCAGTGTGACATGGTGTTTCCTCGGCATATAGCAGTAGACTGGTACAGCAGAGTTCAGTCTGTATGTAGAGATGGCCGGCCTCCTCCCAAGCCGCAATAAAACCCAGAATGTAAGGATGTGGGTGAAGTTCCTCATGATTCCAAGCCTCTGTGATGCTTTTTGCTCGTTCAACCTCACTACGAAAACGATGAACAGAACGCTTCACAGCATACTGACAATTGTCTGTAAGACTCACCACCTGATAGACATGAAAGAAGCCTATGATTATGGTTTCACTTTTTGAACTTTAGTCAATATGTAATGTTGCAAAGATTTTTTTTTTTTTTTTTGGAAAGCAGAAACAGCAATGTAGATGTCTATGCAGCAACGTCATAGCTTACTAAATGTAATTATTATTTTTTTAAACCAAGCTTAATAGTGTTACATTGCATCCCATAAATGTATTCTTTATTTTGTAAAACTGCATCCATTTCATAAAAATAAGTTTCAGAGTATACTAATTCAAGACTTTTACTTTAACAAATTATATTAAGATATAACTTGAGAGAAAAATTAACTTTTTTAAAACCAATTTTCCTACAAAAGATGGTAACTGATGTTACACACAAATGCCCTGTACATCCACCTGAAACATTATGAATAGGAATAATGGACAATAAGGAATGTCTCACCTTAAAAACCTCACCAAAGGAACCACGTCCAATCAGGCCCAGGTTGGTAAAGCACTGGCTGAAAAAGGACTGTTGTTGAGATGGGTCATACACAGAGAGAGGAGGGGGTGATTCTATAAGGGAGCGTGACAGAGGTGTCCACTGAATGGAGCGATGAGGAAACACTCGACTTACTGGGGAGCATCCTTTAGATGGAGGCCGAGGTGGTAAACTATGATATAATGGTGGGGAAGGAGACTGAGAGGAATCTGATAAGTTAGAAAAGGGAGGTTTTCTTTTCTTAACAGTAATAGAATGCTGAGCATTAGAGAAGTGGGTAGGCAGTGGGAGAGGGGTGCTGCTAACCACAGGTGTTTGATGGGATGTCGACATAGGAAATGCACAATCAAACCTTCTGAAGTACTAGAGCATCAACAAACTTGTTTCGAATTAAGAAACTGTAAAAGCGGACTTCACATGCAGAATCTCCACATCAACCTATAACCTAAAACACAACACAATACATGTTATTTAAAAAAAAACTACTAAATATAATTTAAGTATGGCCACCAAGTTTGCAACATTATTAGGTAAAATTTGTAGCAACATAATTTGGTATGCAATGGCACGGTGACAAAACGTTACATACCATGATTTACCACCATGAAAAAAACATGACAAAACAAAACCTGGTTTTCTGTTAGCGACAAATGATTTGAAACGTATCCCTAAAAGTTTACAATTATGACTACTGAATTGGTTAAGAATTTAAACAGTAACGTTACGTAAATGTCAAAGCACACAGTCATCTAAACATGTTACGATTAGCAAAACATACTTTGTGAAACAAATGAGTTTTCATACAGTAAATTATACTAACTTGTTACACGAGCTATTATTTACGAGAATAAAAAATGTTGAGATGCTGTACATAAATAGAAGAGTTTAGACCGGAAAAACGTTAAGTGAAGAACCAGCTCTTCATCATCAGATATTCAGATAACGTTAACGTTAACAGATATAACATAATATATATATTATAATATAATATAATATAACATAATATAACGTTACCTATGGTGTTGATCCGGGTTTATATTCTGGCATAACGTTAGCTTATTGTTAATCACGCAAGTATATTATAATTAATAAAGACAATAAAGGCGCCACGTACTTTCAAACTCTTTAAAAACAATAATCTGTTTCTTCTTCTTCTTCTTCTTCTTCTACTACTACTTTCTTCTTCTTCTTTGGTGTTTTAGGGCAGCTGGCATACTTTTTGTTGCATTACTGCCCTCTAATGTGCACGGTCTCCGTAAATTGTGCTTTCATCCTATACTTATTTTTTCCAATCGTTCTCGAGGCAGTTTTTTGCTTATGGCTCCGCAGCGCAATCCTCCTTCGTCAAGCCCGCTGTCACTGCACTTGACTCAGGTAATGTTTGGTGATGTGACTGATACTCCAATACATACACACAGAGATTAAGTTTATTTTACATTCTTCCTCCAATTTTTAAGAAGGGCACAGTTGGACGTGTTTCGCACACGGGTTGTCACGGTACACAACAGGCTTTGTAATGTTCGTCGGCTTTCCATGATTCTTCGTGAATCAGCTCTGTCCACAAGCTGTGGGGGTTCACTGCATTGTTTTGTAACTGTGGATGGTGTGAGATGACAACCGTGCGGCGTGCGAGCCCCACACTGCCCCCTGGTGACGATAAATTAGAACTACATCTGTCACTCAAAAGTACCAGTCCCAAAAAAATGCGGAATCGTTTGAGGGCCTGGGCCCGGTTTTTCAAAAGTAATCCACTGGGATTTTCGATAAGGGATTGGATCAAATCTTGAAAATGGGTTTTTCGAAGGAAAAAATGGATTACATAATCGGATTAGATCACGTAATGCAATCTTGGTTTTGATCCGGATCAAACCTTTAGTTTGGGTTTTTTAGACCATTTTTTGTAGGATTTGCATCACTTTGATCCAAAAAATCCAGATTAAACCGATCCCATCAGAAGGGTGGATTCAGCGTGGATTTCCTGCCTAAAATGTAATGAAAACTTACAAAATGTATCAAATAATACTATATTTGTATCATGCAGTATCTTACAAGATATCCTATTTATTCATAAAGTTTTAATTTTATTTGTTCATCCGTCAGGCTACAGTGATTAGGTAGGCTTTAACATATTCATCCTTTCCTTTCAGTATAGCCCTACAGCAAAGTAGAAAGAGTTTGGCTTCATAAAATAATCCTCCAAATAGCTGTCAAATATATATATATATATATATATATATATATATATATATATATATATATATATATATATATATATATATATATAAATATATATATATATATATATATATATATATATATATTTTTTTTTTTTTTTAATATAATATTTATTAGTGATGCATGATTACAGAATAACCAAAAAAAAAAAAGTGCAAAGAATGGCAATGACTAAGGAAGTTAGTGTTGATGACGTTTGGGGTTGGCGCAAAGGATTGTGAAAAAACACTATAGGCTACATTGGTCTGATTGCTATTATGACACTGGTTTTAAATTTTCCCGCTGTTCATGCAGCCCTTTTTTTATGAGTGTGATGTGGGGAGCAGTAATTTTGACAATGGCATAGTGGCTAACCAGATGGTAATGTAAAATGTTTTTTTTTTTTAAGCTCAAGTAAAGGAATGAAATAAACTAGTTATAAATGATATATAAAATTAATGTTATAAGTAGGTTTTAATTAGGATACTATCCCTATAACAAAATAATGCAATTATGGAATTAAACGAAGATTTTTCTTTATTTTATGTCTTTCAGAATGTAACATGATCTCTGTGGTTCCCCCTATCGTCACCAGAGGTCACCATCACCGGACTATTAAATCTTTACCCACTACATTTCCTAGCATCCCTTTCTCCTGATTACTTCTGCACATGAAAGTAATTACAATGACTATATAAACTCTTCTCCTGCTTAGTTATTGCATTGACTGATTCTGTGTTTGACTTTGCATTGGGGTCCGTTCTTTGTACCTTGCTTAAATGATCAAAGATGATTTAATAGATCATGGATCTGTTTATCTTGATAACGGATTTCTGGCTGATTTGGTTCTTCAAACAAGTCCACGAATCAGATTAAAATGTCTTGATGAACTGATCTGAGATCGCTGCATGTGCTGTGCAGGACTGATCTATCGATCCTCGAAATCATGATCAGCAATGTAATGATTGGTTGATGCACAGCAGCCTAAAGCTGCGGTCACACTAGAGTTTGAGCATGCGATATTCTGTCGTGCGGCGCTGCCAAAAGGGGTGGGATTAAACAAGCTTATTAGACATTTAAAAAAGCGAGCGATTGCTCCATGTTTTATTTTTTTGTCCAGAGATGTCATGTTTTGATCCTCTATTGGTCTCATGCAGTCAAGTGATGCGATTTCGCTGGCCAGAGTTCACTAAGCTTGAACTTTGCACTGCAGCAACCTGCGAAACTTAACGCATGACCCTGCATTTCCGGTCTGACGCATTCACGTGCGTATGAATGGACGTTTATGGGAGGAAAACCCCCGTGTGACCGCAGCTTAATGATGATATCTGATTCATTCAATTATCCATGTGAGCTAAATTCCTTAAAATTCATAGTAAACTGTTTGTTAAATATGATATGCATAAACTTTCCAATTATGTTGTGGGCTGCAGGCTTTACATTCATGTGTCAAGAGTATTTAGCATTTTATTTAGCTTTAATGTTAGAGCAGATTTCCATTATTATTGTAGCCACAGTAGTAATATAGTAGCCAGTTTCTTAATCAGTTTAAAGAATACCTGGAATTTTGCATGACAAAAGCGTTTTGATATAAAGAAAGCATTTTGATATAATGGTGTCTGCAACTTTTGTAACGCATCAAATCACCGTCTTATTAGCTGTCAAACCATGTTCATGACTGCATAAATGTGTTATCCCTTTAAAAAACAAGTCAAATATTGTGCATGATGTGCATATAAACAAATTGTACTAAAGCGATTGTACACTATTGTATCTATATTGTTTATCAATAATTTTTCTTTTTGAACCACCAGGTGGCAGTCTTTGTACTTTTACTTCGTAGTTCAGATTGCAAGTTTTATTAATATATAATTTCTAACTTTATATATGGTTCTTGGTTAGCTTCCTAAGTGTAAATAACCAAGTACTGTAAGAAAATATCTGAATTCGTTACATACTTTCAGTATTATCTTTGCTTGAACTGACCCAATCTAATCCTGTTTATTTGAAATGATCATGCTACCGAGCAGGTTTAAGCTACTAGAACTGTTGCTCTGACAACAACTCTCGGATCAGTTTTGAAGAACAGAATGATCTTGGATCATGTCAAATCGTCAATAACCAAATCCAGCTATTGAGTAAACCACGTATGAATAACGGACCCATTTGTTTGCTGTTGTTATCTGACCCTGCTTGTTCATCATTTATCACATCATTCTCGTCAATAAATCTGCACATGGATTCTCTCTCTGCTAATTTGTCATTACACAAAGCTTGTTTCGAATTATTAAAAAAATAGTATGTTTAATAGTGCATTTACACACTTGATAAAACTAAAAGCATGTGTCTGTTTGAAGAACACATTCTTATAATGATCGAAAATAATGAAAGAAAGTAGGGTGGAAATGTATAATTTTTATATATCTACTGATCATTATCCAATGAAGATATTAACCATGAAACATGTAATTAGTTATATATATATATATATATATATATATATATATATATATATATATATATATATATATATATATATATATATATATATAAAACTTTTAAGGAGCTTCTTTTTTATGTAAAATGATTGTATTGTTTAGAGGTGAAAAAGAAAAAGCCCTTTGATTATTTGAATATTAAATCTAAGTTTAATATTATCTAAAAAAAAAAAAATCTACTTTTGCTTTTTTACTCTGCTGTTTGCAATACATCTCAACTGCCTACTTTTTGGTGTGCAGATCTAAAAACAAAAGAAAGACAAACATTTTTTTCAGTTTTAATCTTTATAGATTTTACTTTACAGAGAATTAATCAGTGCATAAATGTCCATGACAATACAGTGTTATTATAAAAAGTATGTTGTAAATTTGGTTTACTTTGTCAACTAGGCTATAAAGCTGTAAGTGTTAGCATAATGATAATTATTTCAATAATAATTTAGACATCCATTCTCCTAATTGCTTGTCAATCTGTCAGGTTGCAAGACACATATGGCATCTCGGGCCATTTTATTATTTATTATTATTTTATGATGAATGAATGAATAAATTAACCTCTTTTATCTATAACTCTTCTACTTCTTCTTCTGCAACCTATCAAACTATTTCCACAGAATATAGCATACAGCTAAAAGACAGTCTAGCCACAGAAAACCAAGATTTTGCCAATTCATCTAGTGCTGCCACCAATGTTTCACTCATTTTGAACCATAAGGACTGAAAACTAAATTTTTCTTCTGATGATGTAGCTTGTACTGAATCAATCTTTGAATTTGAATTTTTAAACTCCTTCAAGGCTAAACTTTGAATCAGATCAAAGATCATTACAAACCTTTGTATGTGTTTTAGGCAATATTTTGCATCCAAGAGATTCAGCTGACAAAAACCTTTAGAAACTCTTGCCCTAAATTTAGCTCAGGGGAGTGGAAAAGGCCATGTGGTTACAGAGTAGAGGACAACAGCCATGACTGAAAATTTGTGTAAGGCAGGATTTATTAAATGTAAAAAAAAAAAAAAAAAAAGTTAAATATTTAATAAAATGTTAAATATCTGCTGTTTCCATGTAGTTTCAAATGAAATTATTATTCAAGTTATTGTTGCTTTTATTACTATTACCATTAATAATAATAACAATAATAATAATTATAATAATAAATATTAGAGTGATTTCTGAAGGATCATGTGACTGGAATAATGAAGCTGAAAAACCATCTTTAAAATCACTGGAATAAACTACTTTTGAACCGTTATTTTAAAGTGCAGTCACCTCAAACTTTTGACTGGTATATATTAAAAAAATATAATGTCTGTGGTGTTTTGTCAGGAAATGTGTTCATTGTATAGCTGTTTAATAACTGGTATAACAGCCTGTAAAACAAAAAAGACCCCATTCATTGCTTTCAATTCATTTATATATACACACACACAAGTTTTGAATGCCATGACGTGTCAAAAAAAAAAAAAAAAGAAAGAAAGAAAAGAGAAGACCAAGTCTCTTGCAGTTCACTTCCCAAAATTCTGAATTTCAATGCTTTCTGTGTTAGGCCAAAGATAAATGATATGAACTGCATATATGGTGCTTCATGGATTGCATATATGGTGTAAAGAGGGAGGGCTGCAGAATGCTGTTTTGGACTACATGGGGTGTCTTTAAGCTACTCAATATAGAGCCCATTGATTGAAAAGCTTCATCTTATACACAAATCAAACATATACAAACAGAATCTTTATCAATTTAATATGTTGTTACTTACCAGTTGTTATTTACTATTTGTCTTTCAGTAGACTGCAGATGATAATTGTTGAATACACAGCAACCCGAGTTATAATACAAACTCCCTAAATGCTTTTTAACAAAAATAATAGTATGGTAATATATAGTTGAGTTGACTACCTGACTATCAGACCAACATTTTAATTTTATAGTATTGCAATTCACACCTGAGTTAAATCTAAATATTCTGTTACAACAACAATAATAATGACAAACTATTAAACCATATTACTAGAAATGGTACATTTTTAATTAAAATATAATAAGAAACACATTTTTATGTTTCACACTTTTGATAAAACTCAGATATTTACTCTGTAGCTACAATAATGCTGTCATGTATAGAAGTACCATGGGTTGCATTAAAATGACTTATCACTTACAAAGATATCCACATACCAAGCCTTAATCTAGAAGAATATTATCAAAATGTAATAATTAGATTAATAAGAGACATATGAACCTTTTTTCAAACCAGCAACAATGTCCTTCTTGGCCTTGCCATATTTCTCCACAATTTAACCAAACTTTCTAGACAGTTCTCTTCTCATTCCAAAATGTGCAAATCCTATTTTAGATCAGGAATGAAAAATGACACCAAAGTACAGCTCCTCTCTTGTACTTTCACTAGCACTCACTTTTCTAAACCTACTGTTGATTCTAAAGTTAGCACACTTTGGCCAGTATATAAGACCTGAGAAGGAACTTCACTGATGTCAGTCACATCAACGTGGAGTAACTCCTAATTTGACCAACGACAAAAACCTTGAGAAATGGTAAGTGTCTACAAAAAAATATGAATTCAGTTCTTCAAGATGAGGTTAATTGTTGAAATCTGATCATCATTTGATGACAAATTAATAATGACTGTAGATAAAATATATTTGTAGGGAGTGACAGTGCAATTAACCACTTGATAGAAGACAAAGAAAAAAATCTTTCCTTAATATCATATGAAATATAGAACCTCATTGCCACTGGAAATGGGAATTTGAATTTGCAGCAGGTAGAGAAACACAGGGAAATTAGCTGAAATTTTATTTGATGATAAAAGTTGCATATGAACACTGACCAGCGTAACAATCAACTGTATTGTTTCACTACATTTGTTTATATCTAGGCACCCAAGAAAGCCAAGAAGAGGCAGCAGGCAGAGGGCGGTAGCTCTAATGTCTTCTCCATGTTCGAGCAGAGCCAGATCCAGGAATACAAGGAGGTATAGTGCATGTTCTGCAATAATTTAAAGTATTTGTTGTATTTGATTCAACCTAATATTAGTACAGTACATTAATTCTTATTAACTGGGGATACACCTTACACCCCCCTCCCATCCCCACTAACCCCAAAGTCTTGTCTGTGACCTTTTAACAGCTTAGAAAGACAAGTAGGCAGCAGCTGCCAAGATACTTCTTGGTCTCAAATGTCATACCCAGTTTAAAAGATGGCATATTGAAAGACTTTCAGAAAAGGAAATATATTTCCTAATTAAAGAAAAATGTTTTCTTCTGTGAAGACTGTATCTGTAACCCTTAATGTTGACTTGCATATGCTCAGTCTAGACAGCACTAACATGAACGATATCTTCTGCTTAGATCTTGTATCTTGCATAGTGCAACATGAACTGACATTAACTGTTTAACCCTCTCTAAAACAAACAGGCTTTCACAATCATTGACCAGAACAGAGATGGTATTATCAGCAAGGATGATTTGAGGGATGTGCTGGCAACAATGGGTCAGCTAAATGTAAAAAATGAAGAGCTAGAAGCCATGGTCAAAGAAGCCAGTGGCCCCATCAACTTTACTGTTTTCCTTACCATGTTTGGTGAAAAGCTAAAGGGTGAGTTGTCCAAATCTTCACTTACCAAGTTTAGCACTGTAAACACATTAAACTTAAAATGCTCATACTTTTGGTTTTGGGTAATAAATTAGGTATACAAATATGTCATTTTCATCTCAGCAGAGAACCTTTTATATTACTTTTACTTGCATTTGACTGAAGATGGGATTCAATAACTATGATTTTGGTGTTGCATTTTACTGTTTGAGCTACAGAAGGCAACACCTTCTATTTGCTATTGCTTTTCTTTACAGACTTACTGATAGCTAGTACAAAGAGTCAGATCTAAAGACCATAATTGTTTAACTTTCTTTGACTTCACTAACCGGCCAAGTTTTACAGACTTTATTTTTTCGTCTTTTCAGAAAATGTGGATAATATAGTTTTGAATTGTAAAAGTTTAGTACTAATATTTTATCAAGCATTCACAACCTTTAATTATCAATCTATTAATTAAGGCGCTGACCCTGAGGATGTTATTGTGAGTGCTTTCAAAGTCCTAGACCCTGAGGCAACAGGCACAATCAAAAAGGAGTTGTAAGTGTCTTTACCAATTCCTGTTTACGCTAAAGAATATTTCATAAAGAACATTTACAGTATAAAGCCCTTACAACTGTTATTGTTTCATTCTCTAGCCTTGAGGAACTTCTGACCACCCAATGTGACCGGTTTACGGCAGAGGAGGTTAGTTGTAGTTGGAATATTTTAATTAGTGGTGTTTTCTGACGTTTGTGCTACAGCAGGGAAATGTGAAATTCTATGCTACGTTTTACATGTGCTAAATACTATACATATAGAGATAGTGTTTTCTTTTTTTAGTTGAGCAAGTAAGCAGGCACACATAACACCTTATTCAATACCACAACCCCACCCTACCACTTTTTTAATTAAACAAGAAGGTAACCTGTGGTCCTCATTTTATTTTATTATTTTGTTTAAGATCCTCTTATAATTTTCTTCTAGATGAAAAACCTTTGGGCTGCTTTCCCTCCAGATGTAGCTGGCAATGTAGACTATAAGAACATCTGTTACGTCATCACACATGGAGAGGAGAAAGAAGAAGAATAATTTAATCCATTAATAATCTCTCTACCTTCTCTTATTACCACACCATGTCAGTCCGTCATGGTTCATCTGCCCTTTGAAAAAAATACTTATCTGAACTAAAGGTTTGTTGGCATTTGGGCTGAATGTGAGTGTTGTTTAACTAATATGATTACTTTCAATAAAATGATCTAAAATCACACTCTGTTTCCTCTTGACAAATAAACTGTACAGACTGAGATTATACATATCAGTAATAGAAAGCCACCATCTCACAATGTCCTACTAGCTTTCTTGGAAGAGACAGAAAACGAATGGACAATAATCATTAAGAAAAGAGAAAAAAAACAGTAAAAACCTTTTCCCATTTCCTCCCGTTTAACTTTCCAATTCAAAGTCCTATTTTTGCAATGTTTTATCTTTTTTCCTTCTTTCATCTCTTTGTTCTAAAAGTTTGTAACTAAAAGATAAGAACAAATCAGCAAATTAGTAAAATATAATAAAACAGCCTAATAAAATCTAAATATTTCTCTTTGTGTCTATTCTTTTACATTACAAGAGAAAATATATGAATGATAGACACATGATTTTGTAACGTATTTGTAAAGTATTTTACTGTTACACTTAAAGGCTTTACATTATTTAAGGTTACATAAAAGCACTTTGGCATTTTTAAACTGTATTTGAAACTGCTATATGCAAGTAGATTTACACCATCTGACCTATATAAGACAGCACCCAAATATGTTGACACTTGACAGACTACAAGGAAACTTTGGGGCATCTTCAAGCTGTATTTATTCATTTATTCATTCAATCATTCATTCATTCATTCATTCATTCATTCATTCATTCATTCATTCATTCATTCATTCATTCAATTAAATGAAGAACTTGGTAGTGCTGCAGTAATCCAAGTTTGATAAGGGTAATATAATTTTGTAAAGCTTAAAGTTTTGAGAAAATAAGTAATAAGTAAACTGTAAATAAGGTATAAGAAAACTGATGATGAAGTAAATGATTAATAACCTATTTAAATTTACATTCATATATCTTATTATTCAGGTATATATTAAAAGTTACTTTGTATGTTTAGAACTGCTTTATTAACTCAACTCCATCTAGTTTTGTGACCCAATCTAAAGTAAGGACTATTTATGCTTTATAAATGACAGTGAAAGGCTAAGTTATAATTTAAACAGGAAAAAAAAAGAAAATAAACCCCATTTTTTATAATTTCAGGATAAACAAATTAAACTGTATCAAATAAAAAATAAACCTTAACAATCTCATCTAAAATAAATGTATTTTAATAAAAATAAATCTATAAACCATAAAAATATATGCAGTGTATTATTAGCCTTACATTTCCTTAAGAAAACATCCATTTATTGTTTTGTTAGAGTAGAAATATATAAAAACATACATAAAATGAATAATGTAATGAATAAAATAGAATGTGTTTCTCACATAAAAACATAAACTTTAACAGTAATTTAACATTTTCACCAGTGAACTGGGAATTTTCAAAAAACGTCTATTAATGCCAAATATAGCACACTTATCATTATTTTGTTGTTATTTTGTAGGAGTGATTTTGTCCCCTCCAATCTTTGAATGGATGTAGCCTACACTATAAAAAGTATAACGTTGCGAAACATGATCACGCATTGGAATGGGTCATTTGGGAAATTTACATTGGGTGCTAATCAGTGGCTGAAGACAGTAAGCATACCTGTGGTTCAAACACATTCCTACGTTTACATAAGCATCATACACAAATCACATTGTTGTTATACTAAGTAATACAAATATATAACTATTTTTTTTAATAACAAAAGTACAACAGACAGAGATGGATTTGAACGTAGAACCTCTCACACTTTTGCTTATTCCACCATTAGTCCACTGACAAACCTACGCTTAAGAAATTACACCCTGTGAAAAATTAAATGTACCTCAACTGTTGCTCAAATTGTCATGTTCACCAGCGAACAACCACCAGATGTCGCTGGTAAACATTCACACACAAACATTCACACTCATTGAACTACATATCTGCCATGTTATTGACTACAACACCCAGTCATGCCACACACACACACAACCGGTTCCAGATCAACACTGATTGCACTCTCACAGCTGAAGCCACTCACACAATTATTGTTTGGACTATTTATACCCCTTTGTTCCACACACATGTGGCCGAGTCTTGTTTACTGTTTGGTGACATTACAACGCGTTATCCTGGTCTTGTTTTCCCGTGTTTTGGTTCTTAGCCCTGTTTATCCTTGTCATCCTGTTTAGCCGCCTGCCTTACGACCTATTGCCTGTTTATTGACTTCGACTCTGGATTTGCCCAAACATACCTGTTCATTCCTGTATTGACCACTGCTTGCCTGACTAAAGAATAAACCTGCATATTGGATCCTACCTTCTGTTGTGGTGTCACTCCCCGGCGTTACAGAAGACTCGGCCACACCATGGATCCAGCGGGTGTCAAGATCATGTGTCTCCGTCAGGAAGCCCGTTCAATAGAAGAATATGTGGAGGATTTCATCAATCTGGCGCATTTGACAACATTGAGTGAGTTATGTCTCATGATCTTTTTTCATGGAGGACTGTCTGAACCATTGTACTCAACAATGAGATTGCACGAACCCAATGAGACATTAGAACATTATATTGATTTGGCCTTAAGAATGTCTGGGTCCCCCTTCACTGTAGGAGAGGTGGAGGACACCCCTAAATATTTTTTGGGGGGGGCATAGGACAGCAAGACCCGATGGCAACGGGGCTTGCTGCTCATTCCACCACCACACACCCAGCTCAGAAAATGGCCGCCAACAGTCCAGCTTACAAGATGGCTGCATTCGGTCTTCCAGCTAACAAGATGGCTAACACCAGTTCTCCATGTCACAAAATGGCCGCCAACATTCCAGCTCACAAGATGGCCGACTCCAGTCCTCCAGCTCACAAGATGGCCGACTCCAGTCCTCCAGCTCACAAGATGGCCGACTCCAGTCCTCCAGCTCACAAGATGGCCGACTCCAGTCCTCCAGCTCACAAGATGGCCGACTCCAGTCCTCCAGCTCACAAGATGGCCGACTCAAGTCCTCCAGCTCACAAGATGGCCGACTCCAGTCCTCCAGCTCACAATGTGGTCACAACCAGCCCTCCAACTCACAATGTGGTAAACGCCAATCTGCCACCAGCTCACAAGATGGTTTCTTGTTCCGAGTCCTTTCCTGTCCTTGTTCCTGAAATACCATCACCTGAGCCACCAGAATGGCCTCCACCACCTGAGTTACAAGAGCTGATGCCACCACCAGAGCTGTTACTACCAGAGCTGCCACCGCCACCTCCAGAGCTGCCAGACCCTCCAGAGCTGCCAGACCCTCCAGAGCTGCCAGACCCTCCAGAGCTGCCAGACCCTCCAGAGCTGCCAGACCCGCCAGAGCTGCCAGACCCGCCAGAGCTGCCAGACCCGCCAGAGCTGCCAGACCCGCCAGAGCTGCCAGACCCGCCAGAGCTGCCAGACCCGCCAGAGCTGCCAGACCCGCCAGAGCTGCCAGACCCGCCAGAGCTGCCAGACCGTCCAGTGCTGCCAGATCCTCTAGAGCTGCAAGAGTCTACGCCGGAGCCAGAGTCTACGCCACAGCCAGCGCCACAGCTGGACACACAGCCAGAGTCGACGCCGCAGCCAGAGTCGACGCTGTTGCCTGAGCTTCCTGAATGGCCGCCGCCGCCTGAGCTTCCTGAATGGCCGCCGCCGCCTGAGCTTCCTGAATGGCCGCCGCCGCCGCCTGAGCTTCCTGAATGGCCGCCGCCGCCTGAGCTTCCTGAATGGCCGCCGCCGCCTGAGCTTCCTGAATGGCCGCCGCCGCCTGAGCTTCCTGAATGGCCGCCGCCGCCTGAGCTTCCTGAATGGCCGCCGCCGCCTGAGCTTCCTGAATGGCCGCCGCCGCCTGAGCTTCCTGAATGGCCGCCTGAGCTTCCTGAATGGCCGCCTGAGCTTCCTGAATGGCCGCCTGAGCTTCCTGAATGGCCGCCGCCGCCTGAGCTTCCTGAATGGCCGCCGCCTCCTGAGCTTCCTGAATGGCCGCCGCCGCCTGAGCTTCCTGAATGGCCGCCGCCGCCTGAGCTTCCTGAATGGCCGCCGCCGCCTGAGCTTCCTGAATGGCCGCCGCCGCCTGAGCTTCCTGAATGGCCGCCGCCGCCTAAGCTTCCTCAATGGCCGCCGCCGCCTGAGCTTCCTCAATGGTCGCAGCCTCATGATCCAGGGCCACCGCAGTTCCACGCTCCAGGCCCTCCGCAGCTCCACGCTCCAGGCCCTCCGCAGCTCCACGCTCCAGGCCCTCCGCAGCTCCACGCTCCAGGCCCTCCGCAGCTCCACGCTCCAGGCCCTCCGCAGCTCCACGCTCCAGGCCCTCCGCAGCTCCACGCTCCAGGCCCTCCGCAGCTCCACGCTCCAGGCCCTCCGCAGCTCCACGCTCCAGGCCCTCCGCAGCTCCACGCTCCAGGCCCTCCGCAGCTCCACGCTCCAGGCCCTCCGCAGCTCCACGCTCCAGGCCCTCCGCAGCTCCACGCTCCAGGCCCTCCGCAGCTCCACGCTCCAGGCCCTCCGCAGCTCCACGCTCCAGGCCCTCCGCAGCTCCACGCTCCAGGCCCTCCGCAGCTCCACGCTCCAGGCCCGCCTCAGCTCCACGCCCCAGGTACGCCCCAGCTGCATGGTCCTGGCCCCCCATCCCTCCCCCTGTTCCGCATCCGCTCCACCTCCCGCCTGAACTGTATTAGGAGTGTCTGGAAGCCACTCCTTAGAGGGGGGGCTCTGTCATGTTCACCAGCGAACAACCACCAGATGTCGCTGGTAAACATTCACACACAAACATTCACACTCATTGAACTACATATCTGCCATGTTATTGACTACAACACCCAGTCATGCCACACACACACACAACCGGTTCCAGATCAACACTGATTGCACTCTCACAGCTGAAGCCACTCACACAATTATTGTTTGGACTATTTATACCCCTTTGTTCCACACACATGTGGCCGAGTCTTGTTTACTGTTTGGTGACATTACAACGCGTTATCCTGGTCTTGTTTTCCCGTGTTTTGGTTCTTAGCCCTGTTTATCCTTGTCATCCTGTTTAGCCGCCTGCCTTACGACCTATTGCCTGTTTATTGACTT